GTTTTGCACCATCAAAGCGTAAAATATTGTTTCAAGACTGGGTTCATCCAGCACCCAGTCTCACTCTAACTAGGGAATTAACAGACCAAGTGGACAAGTTTTTTTATTTGGAGAACTATATCTCACTCGGTGGACGCATCACGGATGAAGTGTCAATTTGCATACACAAGTTGTGCTTCATGTATTTCACACACGTCTGAGACCAGTGTGCGCCAAACAAATTACTGTACAACGATTTTTATCAAAAGAAAAACGTTCCATAATTTTTTCGTTAGCGGAATACTGCCTGTTTGTTCAGATCAAGGTAGGTGGATTTTCTTAGGCAATTCACAACCGGAGCCCTCAGCTAGTTAAATCTTGGCTCCCGAGGCAGTGGGGCGGTGTGGGAAAACCGCAATCCATTGGGGGCCAGTGTCCAGTCCATCGGATCCTACGTCCTTTAGACATGGTCAACACATCCAAAGTGCCCAAGACACCTCGATACCCAACTGAGTCGGAGGCCAATGCCACAATCAAGAAGCTGTTTTTGGTTCATACTTCTCTTCTTGTTTGGTTTGGAATTACGATTTTTAGCCAACTCCCCTGGGTGAACTGCCAGTGGTTAACCAACCCGGTTACAGCCCCGGATAAAAAAGACTATCGGTGTTCAAACGCCGCCGTCTATGCAGCCTCGCATGAATCTAGTGGGACAACCGTATAAACAATGCTGAGGTTAGATGCACAGTTTTGGACAACCGCGGTTACCCACTTGAGAAAGTGGTCGACCTCGTGCGACTACACTGGATGGGGTGTGTTACGTAAGTCACCAAATCGGTTGCCACGGCGCACGATGTTTGCCAAGGCAGTTAGTGGGTGAGAAAAAATCAAGGGTGGTCAACACAAGATCTGGCACGAAGGTATGGGAATCCCAACCAGGACTCTCGGTCGCATACGCTCCCTGTCTGGGGACCTCGAAAAGATCGTAACCGGGGGTTAGAGACCCTGAGTGATATGGCTGTGTCGTAAACATCGGCGCTCGTTCATCCTCTCAATTCCCTTGCAACCTTAGTCTACTATTCTGTTCCAATTTCTTTTCGATTCTACTTTTGACTTATTCGTCATTCGCGTTATTTGCATCCAAAGGGGCACCTAAAAGACATCAACAAAAACCGGTGCACGAAAGTGCATGATTAATAGTAGTACAACCTGCAACTGAAATTGCGTATTTGAACCTTTTCAAGCATTCTGGCCTGAAAAGAAATGACAGCAAGAACACCACTGCTGTCGGTTTGCGGCCATTTCCCCCAGTGTGCCCAACCAATCAGTTGCAGTCTTTCGGACCCCAACCTGGAACGCGCAAGACACCCACTCTAACTAATCGCTGAGCGCATTTCTCAATGTTTCGTCTCCACGTCATCTGTTGACCTCCAACTGATTTCATCCCGCCCGGAGCGGCTACAGCGAATAAAGCACTGTATGGTAGAAGAGAGCTGTGCATAAGTAAAGCCTAGTAATCTGAATTTGATGAGCAAGCAGGTTTATACCAGATAAACTCCCAAACACCCAGTATGCCTTCAAATAACTAACCGGTTCGCTCCATCGCACGGGGGTAAATTACGCAAACCCCGATAGCCGGAAACTTATAGTCGATGAATGCTTTCTACACGTAAATTCAAGGTCTCATAACCATTAATCAGAACTGAACAAATGGCAGCACAAGATACACGTCGCGTCTACACCAAAAGTGTTTCTGTCCTGCGTACGCTGCTCGGGTCGACAAAATGCAGGTAGTCATCTCCTTTGCTGCGCTACCGTCACTTGTCACAAAATCCCCTAAGCATGACAAACAATTGACTACAACTGAATCCCGACCATTTAGTTTCAAAGCGGGCCTACGCGACACCCAGTCTTACGTCATTACTNACTTCACATTTTGAAGGTGAAAAGCACATACCAAACGTGGTAACAGAACTTTGCAGTCTTTCAAGAGCGCTTTACGCGTCCTTCATACATTCGAACGGACAGATGTCATCGGTGTACTCCAAATCGCAGAGCTTTACTTCAGCTGCCCATTCAATACCAACATTTTGGAGACCACTTATTGCGTTCTCCAGTACTTCATCTACGCTGAAGTTGAACAGAAATGGCGAAAGAGAGCACCCTTGAAGAACGCTTCTGCTAGTGACAAACGGCATACTTAGTTCGTTGTAAACTCTTACTCGACCAGAGCTATGTGAGTACAATGACCTCAGTATGTTATCGTATTTCTGGAGCCTTTTCAATGAAGAGAACCCATTAGAGCTTCGCGGTCAACTGATTCGAAGGAACACTGGGATCAGTTCAGTTCAGTTTGTACAACCATTAACCACACATACTCGTGCGCCGGTTTTGGTTGCTGTCTTTTAGCTGCCCATTCGGATGAAGAATAGGAGAAAGGAAAGTTGAAAGTGGATTCGAAAAGAAAATGGAGAAGTTCAGTGGTCTAAGGTTGCAAAGAATTTGAGAAGATGCACAAATGCCACTGTTTACGACACCTAGCCATATCACTTTGTGTCTCTAACCACCGGTTACGACCATCCCGAGGTCCCCAGCCAGGGAGCCTAACGGGGCCTATGTGACCTAGTCTCTTGGTTAGGGTTTTCATACCCTCGTGCCAGGTCTTACCTTGACCACCCTTAGCTTTTTTCCACTCGGTGTCTGCTTCGGCGAACATCGCTCGCCGCGGCAACCTATCTGGTGACATACGTAACACATGCCCCAACCAACTTAATCTATGGAGGTCGACCACTTGCTCTAGTGGGCGACCGCGGATACCCAAAACCCTTCCCCTAACCTCAGAATTGCTCATTCGGCTACCCTACCAGATTCGTGCAATGCTGCGTAGACAGCGGTGTTCAAACACCGACAGTCTGTCTTTATTCTGTTTT